TCTCACTCACACACACACACATGTGCACAGGCACACACAAATTGTTCCTCAGGGGAGACCAGCACACTGTCATTCAGTCACTCATTCAAGGTATGGTGCTCATGTGATCGTGCCCATGTGAGGGAGATTTAAATGCCAGTCACAGGAGTGTCATTGTGGCCTAAATAAAAAACAAAACATCATTACACTCAGTCACTCACGTGCACACACACATGCAGGCACATGCTTAAAGTGGTTAATTTGGATACATCAAATGAGATTATAAGTCACATCTGCTGGTATGCCTGCCTTGAAACTCATCCTAGGGTTGAGTAGGGGTAGACTAAGACTTCTGCTTTGTTCTAATTTATGGAGTGGTAAATTTGACATGTTGTACTCGGTAGTCATGTAAAACCTGCACCATCAGTTTATAGAATGACAGCATGTCAGCTGACTTGTGTGACATGCATGTCTGTCCAAGACTGCTGTCACACCGACGCAGATGAGGGTTCCCGGGTTGTGAGTGATGAAAATTATTTGTACATCATTCTCTTGCACAGAAGGAGGAAGCTCTCAATCCATGTCCTGTCAGTTTTTCCATTTCCTCTTACTCATGAGGCAAATAGCAGCATTTTGTCCCTGTCAGTAGTTAAAGTATCTTTAGCAAAGCCAAAAGTGGACTCTCACGCATTAATATTTATCAACCTTGTAAACTTTTCTACTGAGAGGGCATGGTATGTAAAACAAGCAGGATGCACACGCCTACACGCTCTGCTTTGGAGCAACAAGTACTCACATTAGACAGCAGAACACACACCCCCGGGGAATGTCATGTTGACAGCTGTTGTAACCTGCTCCTCAAGCACCTAATTTCCATTCCCTGCACAATGCACAAGCATGGATGAACACACATGCATGCATATGCAAACACAGACATTTCACACGGTAATTCTCACAAAAGTATTGTATGAATATGGTTATGGTCTAGGTCAAAGTTTATTTTCATTATAGGTCAGGTAAATTACAGGTTTTATTTAAGTAGGCCTATTATCAGCAGGAACAAGCAGTCACATTGACCATTTGGTTAAGTGCAACGTGACAATAAGACCACAGGAATGTGCTGTTTCATGGGAATGCAGGCACTGCTAACTGCAGTCCTAATTCCAGATGCATTAGTTGTTTTGCTTCAAAAATGCAGGAAAACAATGAGAATCTCTCATCAAACTGATGGCTGGGAACAACAATGTCGCCACAGTATTGAATGAAACTCTTTGTGTGTGTGTCTGTTCATCGCAGGTCAGGAACGTTTTGGAAACATGACAAGAGTGTACTACCGTGAAGCCATGGGAGCCTTCATAGTGTTCGATGTGACGCGGCACACGACCTTTGAGGCCGTCGTCAAATGGAAAGAGGACCTGGACTCCAAACTAATGCTGGCTGATGGACAGAGCATTGCCACCGTGCTGCTGGCTAACAAGTGTGACCAGGGCAGGGAGTTGACCAACAACGGCATCAAAATGGACCAGTTCTGCAAGGACCATGGCTTCGCCGGGTGGTTTGAGACCTCTGCTAAGGTGAGAACGGAGCATGGTTAAGGTTTTATTGTCATTTGCAATGTGTGAAGTGAAATGTACTACTGCCTTTTTGGAAATACTCCTATTGGCTTTTTTTGTTGAGAGTTAGATGAGAATATCAATCCCACTCTCATGGTTGTCAGGTAAATATTAACCTGGAGCCAGGAGACAATTAGCTTAGCTTAGCATAATGACTGGAAATTGGGGGAAACAGCTTGCCTGGCTCTGTCTAAAGGTAACAGACTCTATGTCCTGGTATCTCTGGTCTCACTAATACATTATATCTGTACAAAATCTAAAGTGTAAAAATCTAATTTTGGTGGTTATGTGCAGGTCTATTTCTGGGCACAGTGACTACAATACACTATTAATTAGTGAGCCCAGGCTAGTTGTGTCCTTGTCTCCAGTCTTTATGCTAAGGTAAGCTAACTGGCTGCAGGTTGTAGCTTCATATTTAACAGACAGGCAGTGATATCCATCTTCTCATATAACTAGTGCATTTCCCAAAATGTTGAAGTATTGCTTTAATTATCAACATGACAATGAAGGGGCCAGATCGTCTGCCTTTGCAGCGAGTGGCTGACACGCTCAGCGGAGGTCATCTCCCACTCAGGTCACTTCAGGCAGTGAAAAACATCCACAGAGAGCCAACTGGAATTTCATATCCTCATGGAAAGTGGCTCTGTGAGATAAATTTACAAAGCGGGGTCAGAACAAGTTACTGAAGTGAAAAGTTAAAAGTATTAGAGGATTGTTAACTGTTTTTTTTTTCTGCCTTTTTTGAATAAATTATTTACTTGAGTAGATTCATAGTGACACAAAAAGTATTTGACCACATCACATATATATAATATAGACAATATATACAATTCTAGGTATTTTATGCTCCACATATTTCCCCATAGTTATGATATACACAGTATGCTAAGAGACACTGGGGTCTTGACTAGAACGTAAAGTGTACTCATATGGGTTTAAATAATTATTTTCTTTATAGGATGTGTATGTAAGATGCAAAAACAGTACTTAAACATAGCTATAAATTCTACAGATGTCTTCATTTACACATCCTCTGTTGACACTAACGTGTTGCTGCTGCATAAGTGTGCTGCCATTCTTGTGGCATCAAGACTCAACATTCTCAAAGGTCAAAGGTTATGAGGTGCAGGTTCAGCCAAAGATGTCAGAGGGTGGCTACACAAACAGACATACACATCCTCCTTTGGTAGCAGTTAGAATTTTTTTTTTACAGCATTCATATGAAATGGTTTCAAACACATTAAGTTGCACACGTGGTGTTGTTCACATGAAGGTGATAGCATTCTAGTTACCCACATTTTGAACATTCTAGGTCAGCCACTGGATGTCTACTGAGCTGGAGTATTATGTGCTTTTAAAGAACTTTTCCAAATGTCCATCACATGTTTACTTTGTTTACTTAAAATATGTTTTAGTTTTTTATTCTCCTTTCTCATTAGTATGGTGGTAAAAAACATATCATAGAGGCATACTTAAGTGTAATTCTCTCTCTCTTTAAGGACAACCTCAACATCGCTGAAGCTGCAAACTTCCTGGTCAAGCACATAATGGCCACAGAGAATGACATCCTGAAAAGCGTAGTACCAGACACCATTTCACCTCAGCTAGACTCCAACAGGCAGATGAGCTGCTCTGGCTGTTTCAAATAATGAAAGGAGGGAGCGATTGGGGGGACCATACAGAATGGAGACACAGAAGGACAAAGAGGGACAGGCACACCACAAGAGCCTTAAAGCCAGACCTGCGGTACTGTTTGGCTTCTTTGGTCCAAACAGGAGTTGAAGACTTTAGTTTCCTGCATGTCTGTGGTTTGTTTGTGTTCTCAGTGCCCAATTACAGCGAACCAGAGCTTGCAAACTAAAATCACATGGACTCAGAAGTTACACATTTATTTAATAGAGTTTTGGTAACTTGTAAGACTGTGAGTTTAAAGTTCTTGGCAGACAAACAAGTACAACTTCAGGTAGGCATAATACCCTTATCTGTGCTCTTTGGCATTTAAGTATCAAACTGCCAACCTTACCCTTTGGGCCTCTTTTTAGCCAGTCAAGATTATGTTCTCTCTGAAGACAAGTTCACCTGGAAAAGGACTGGGAAGTGGCACAGATCTGCCTGACCAAACTGAACAAGAAGACTAAATCCTCCCAGCATGCTTGATGCAACACATCCAAAGGTGTGCATTAATGACAGAATGAAAACAGCAGTTTTGTTCAACTTAAATCTGATCTTCAGCATTTCAAGCAAGTATTGCAAGTGTTGCTGTCCTCGCTCTATTTTCGCCTCTACATGAACTGAAAATAACTGTGGGAGACACTCAAGCTTCCCTTACAAGAGCCAAAGAAAGCAGTATTGACCCGTTTCAGTGTAATTATGTGAATTTTGCACATGCATTGCTTTTTTTATTAGGATTTTTATTTATTTACAATATGCTTTTATGAGTGTAATGCTGCTTAATGTATTATATTATTCTGCTGCCTTCTTTCCTTTCTTCTTGCCTACAATTGACTATTGTGTAAGCCTTATTTAATTAGGCAATTTAAGCAACAACACATTTGTATTTATAGCAACAACTTGGTCGGGGAGAGCAGCTGCAAAGGGAGGGAGAGTTAAACACACACAAACATCCTGGAGCTTGCCTTGTGTAACTCGTCTTTCATGGCCAGTGGGCAGTTCCACTGGAGCAGGCCAGGTTTTTCTTATCAAAGGTGTGACACCCCTCCCACCAGCTTGGAGACTGTTCTGGCCAGCCTCAGGGGGTGGGAGGTAGTCAGCTGATTGAGTTCACCTGGGCCCTTAGGCTATAAAAGCTGCTCCTTGTGCTTCTTCCTGTCTTTCCCTTCCTATAGCTTACACCCACCCTGCATTGCTTTCTTGTGGTTTGCGCCTCCGTATCAAATTAACCACACATCCATACACTGCTGACATTGCTGATCCACACACTCCATTATTCATTTGTGTTAACTTTAGTTTAATAAATGAGTCTTGTTATAAGTGAATCTCTTTTGTTGACTCCCTCCCTGTTGCATTCCCTGAGCCGGTTTTTGACAAAGGCTTGTCCGACATGTTAGTTAATGGAAGAGAGTGGTTGTCCTTCTCTCTAAAGTTTGCTGTCATAACTACGATATTTGGCTGCAACAAAGTGATTTCTGCTTTCTTTTTTTATATATATAATTGGCTAATTTGTGTATGTGTGTTATTTTTCTTCATCAGAGAGAAAATGTGTTGATTGTCTGGATGTAAACTGGACATTCTCATGAGTTCATTTGCCAAAGTCGAACCCTCTGTATCCATGGTAACTAGATCAAGTCTTTTTTATGGGTATCCTCTAACGTCTGTGTGAAGCTATTTCTCGCTGTTCTCACAACCACACAGACACAGATGCACGCACACACCCATACATACACACACATATTTTTTTTCCACTCCATGTCCTTGTTCCTTTTTTTTACCTCATCTTTCTCCTCTCCCACTCCGTTCCATCCTTCGTTATTGTTTCTTATCCTTAAAAACTCTTTGTCTTCTCTCAATACGGCTGCTTCCAGTGTCCTTCTTTTACATGTCCCCTGTCCCTCTTTTCCCTCATTCTCTGATTCACATACAGTATGTAAAATGCATTATATAAACCATGCACAGGCTCCACTACACACCCACAGATGCAGTACTTTTATTGATCTGCCAACAAGTGGACTTTGGTCATGTATGTGGAGTTGTGTTCCTTTTTTTGGTGACCGTCCACCTCTGTATTACTTGATAGTAGTGTCTTCTGTAAAAGGCAAGGTAGGTAAAGTGGGATAAAATCAATTGCATTATGTGGACGTTTACATAAATTTCATTAAGTGTAAAATGACATATGTTACATTGTTCCCTCTGGTTGCTATTCTTTAACAGTGTTTTGCACACTGATCACAACAGTGTCATGTTATTGTGTCAGATCAGTAATTTACAGCATGCACAGTAGGGCCTGATGGAATAAAACAATGCCTGCTGCATAGGATTGCATTTTCACAGTGTTAGTTTTGCTCATCATGAGATTGTGTGGCATCAAGCATCTTGTGACAACAGCATCACACTATAGATGTTTGAACTGTACACTGCATAATTTACTGTTTTGTCCCCACAAGTACACTGCACAATTACACCACTTGTGGATTGTTCTTCATTATTTATTGTAAAAGTAGTAAAACACATGTTCTTGTTTTTGTGACACATTCATATCAAGTGACATCCAAGTACACTCATGCTATTTAACCTAATAATCTGGTACAAACCATTTTTCAGCCTCATGATCACTGTAGTACTTCAGTAAAGCTTCACAAATTACTAGAAGAGACAGTGAATCAGCTTCCAAATGTTATTAGTTTATACTAAGAAATGTGTGTGTGTGTGTGTCGTCCTCAGGCTGATCCAGGACTCTCAGGTTCTCATTAGGGAGCCACATGACTGCGTGGATTATTCTCTGCTTGAGGGATTAGATTTGGTCGTCTGCTCTTGGCTCAAGTTAAGACATCACCACCAACAACCCATCAAAGGATCCAAAAATGCTATATAACCACTTTGGCAATTCATCAAGCAAGGTGGTTTAAGAAACAAGAATAATAAGAAATATGAAGCACTCACTTCTCAGTTTTATAATATTCTTAATTTTGAGGAAGTTGTGAGAGTGGGTGGGGTAATTACATTTCAAAAGATGTAATTAAAAATAAAACAATATAATTCAACTTTAATTTCATTTTGGAAGAAAAATCTCCAAAGTTTCTGTCTGTTAACTCTTGCTATGACAACAATTGGCACAGATTTAACTATTCATTACTGGGATTATGAGCCTAACATATTGTGTTCACTGTAGTTCTCAGGCTCTGCCAGAGAACCACCTACAGAAAACACCCACATATTCTCTCAGAGAGAAAAAGGGAGAGAGACGGGGGAGAAGCAGGTAGTAAGAAAACGAGATGGGAGAAAAGCAATGCTTCAGTCTTGTAGCAACAAAAGGTTACAGACAGCTCATCAAGGGTGCATGCTGGTAAACACAAGCAGACACATCAAATGGGTCATATTCAACCGCCTTTGAAACATTTCCCAGACAGAATTCACACAGATTATCAGATAATAACTCTCTATTAGATCGGAACACATTCAGCCAGCTTAATCACATGCAGACCAACAGTCTTTTGGAAAGTTACATAATTCAGCAACAAGAACTCAAGATGATAGAAGAGACTAGAACTGATGTCTTTCCTCCTGCTCTCATCCCCATCAGTAATTGCTCATGTAGTGCCATCTGTTGTCAAATTAGCAGCATCGCATGCTTTTTATTCACTTTACAGTAACTTGAAAATCATTCATAGATAAAGTTAAGGATGCTGACTGATTGGAAACGAGCCACCAATCCACCCTCTGTCATTTTTACTGGCATAACCTCTCCTTTATTTTACCAACTGAACTTGTATCGCTTAGTAGGGTGACATATCACTAGGACTGACTCATACAGTTTGTCTCCCAAGATGTCTCATTTCTGCAGAAAGATAAACACTGTTGGATGTCCACACACACACAGAGACACACACACAGGCACACACATGTTAAACCAAAGTGCAGCCACTTGAGTGTGACTGGATTTAAAACTTAATGACAGCGTGTGAACACCAACACATGCCTTCCCAAGCAAATTACCTCCTCTATTAGGGTGACTTTCTCATCTTTAAGCCCTGGGACCTCAGCAACTCTCGGTTCCCACTCCCTAGTGCCAAAATCTATTAGGCCAAGTTGATCTTTCTTTAATTCTCGCTTTTGATGGGGGCATGAACAGCCGGTGAGAATGACCAACATTACTGTGATTTACAGATATCAGTATAGCTTTCTAATCATCACACTATGTTTGCTCACATATAAGAAAATTGAGGAATGAAATATCAGTCTCTGTTAATTAAAATAGTCTCCAGAGAGAGAACGAGGGAGAGAGGAGAAGAAAGAGAAACTCTGAAAGTACATTAAAAGTAACAGAGGGGAGACTGAGAGACTGACTGAGATTCAGGAGGGTGAAACATAAAATAATAAGTGCGGTATTAAATCATTAATATATCTGTCCAAGTTGAAATATGAGTCCTGTGAAGACCTCATGAGCACCGCTATTCATCACTCACACTGAACACCGTCAGATTTTACATCTCATTAACCTTACTGATGGTTTTTCAATAACACTGCTCAGCACTAACAGCAATCTTCATACAGTAAGTGGAGGATGATAGCAAACACCTTTTACTGTTGAAAGCATTATTTTTCAGTTTTAATGTTGATTGGTTCTTTTTTACTTAAAAACAAAAAAATGCAGGAATCCATTTGGACATTGTCATAGAAAGATACAGTGATTTGCATGGGCATTAAAAATAAAAGAACACAGTAGAAGAGCAGTATATGCAGCATATAGGGTAGCACACGTCTATACAGCTAGGTCTATTGACTGTACATGCACTGCCACCAGAGGGCAATAAGCACCAACGTTATCATTCTTTACTTAAGACTGAACATACAGTCTTAAGTCGGTTTGGTGGTCAATATTTACAAAAAAAATCTATATATACAGGATTTCTGAATGTGTATTTACAGTATTCATTTCATATCATACACAAATAATTTTAAGAAAGAAACAGCTGCACTGTAATGATTATCATGAGTGACAATAAATCTATAAATATATACACATATAGCACAGGGAAACTTGATAGAAGAGAAGTTGCAAAGTTGTCCTGAGTGTCAAATATCGACTATAAGCAGGGAGAAAATAGGTGAAATATAAAGATAAATCAGCTTGTACTGCATCCATTAATGAGTTATTGCTACATTGTTCACTTGACCCTTGACAGTAATTTAGTTGAGGCTGTTCAAGATAATCAGGTAGATAGATACAAGAATCTAATGCCTGCCACAATACGGGACAGACACATAATGTGGGACATTGATTATTTTCATTACACAGTGAGGCAGCTTTTCTCATAAAAGTGTACTTTGTTCATACATAAATGTTTTTAGTATCTTGAGGCAGCTCTTTAAACATATTTAGGCAAATTTGTGAGGTCTGTTTTAGTGAGTGAAAGCAAAGCTCTGAGAGGTTTGTGGAACCTAGAAGAGCTGTGTCACTGTGATTAGGTGACCACAATGACATCCCGAAATATGACAGCCAGACACATGACCAGAGGGTAAACATGGCACACTATGTCAGGTCTATTTGTTGAGTTGTCTGGTTTTTGGTGCAGAATGCAGTTTTGTGTTGCCCTGTACACAGAGAGAGCAGAACCAACATTCTCTGCAAGACATACTGAATTTCCTATTAACACCTGAGAAGCTTATTGTATCAAACTGTATCAAAATGTTTATTAAAACAATTAAAGTATATAAGGATGAAGTGTTTAATCCTGAGGTAATCAAGCAGTGAAGCACACAAATATACAGACCGTTGTTCCCTTTGATTTATGATTATAGTTGTGATCGTCTCAGATCTTAACATTCTCAACATACACCCCGGCTGTGCTGATTTGTAAGGGGATACCTTTAGCCTTCTACCAGAAAGCAAATTGTAATAAGCTATTTGCAAAGCTGGAAACATGGTCATCACATACTTATAATTGGTGGAAAAGTTTTAAATTGAAAAGATAAGGATTTACTCAAAACATGTGTTGATTATGGCCATCTCATTATAAATGTATTGTCATACTATGCTGGGATCACAAGTATACCTCTGCTTTATTTTGTTCTCAGGCAACAGTCTGTGGTAATGTCCTTAGATACTGTATGATAAAGAGTGGGAACCTTTATGTTTGACATCATAACTCCAGGCTCCATCCTATGGGTTTGGTATACACCTGCAGCATGATTGGTGGATGTGTATCTAAAGTGAATGTTGACCATCTCCTGTAACTGTATTCCTGCTGGATTTTGAAGAAGCCGCCTCAGACGCATTATTATAGTCATTAGGGCCCACAGAAGAGGCCAAGAGTGAAGGCTGGAGCTGGAGTGGAAATCCTGACTGTGAAAGGAGTGTGTCTATGTGAGGAAAGAAAGAGGACAAAGGGCAGTCTGGGGAGGTGTATTTGGCTAACACCTGGAGCTGGTCTGGCTGCAGGTTGGCTTCGTTGCAGACCTTCTGGCATAAGACAGAGACACTGTGACATGTTTTCAACTTCAGCTGGCCCAGCTGGCTCTTCTCCATCATCAGTTTCTCCCTCTCTGTCTTCTGCGACACATGCAGTGAAACCAAATCTGATTAACACATCTGTAGACCACCAGTGGCTTAAACAATTTACTGATTAAAAAAAGAAATTGTGTTTTACCAGCTTGTTGATTTCACACTGCAGATTATAGATGCAGTCTAGCTTCCTCTTGCGGCAACGCTGAGCTGCAAGGCGGTTCTTGCTGCGCCGCCTCATATCGTGGACAAACTCCAGCTGTTCACGTGTAAAGGCCTGTTGCTTAAGCAGCTGTTGAAAGTCGTTTCTGCTCAGATCCACAATCCAGTCTACAGAAAATGGCAACTGCACCTGAGGACACCCAAACAGGACATAGCAATTACACAGGAGAGCACAGTGAGAGGATATCTACAACAAAGAAGCCTCCCCTTAAAGACAGACTGAGCCAAAATCAATGCTTTTCTATATATTTTTTTATGACATCATGTGTAATACTGTGACTGTATCTGTTACAAACTAGTCTAGATTGATGGAAATGTATGTTTTGTTGAATTAGTGAGACTGAAGGCATTCTAACTCTGACTAACCTACAAGTATAGTACACATAAATCTGCTTTAAAGCAGCAGGCTTGTAGAGATGGGTTTAAACATCTTAAATGAATTTTAGGACATAATTAAAAGTATTGAACTACAAAGAATGAAATGATAAAATACTCAGTGATCAAACATCTGTGTATCTCTTCCGATAGTCAGTTATATTTTTACAAAGCTGTTAATTATTAACTCTAAAAACGAGCAGTTAACTTTTAAAATCAGAGGTCGGGTTATACTGGGTTATTGCTGCTGCCAAAGTGTGACAGGAAATGTACACTCACCAGTTTATTGTTACAGTATAAATCTTATAGTGTTTTATCTAGTGTAAATACAAGCACTGTTTCTCCTCTGAATTGACCATAGCTCTGTCTGCACCCTCACTACACTGTTAAGACTTTCAGTCAAATCGAAACTATCAGGAGTATAGGATGAGGGTTTCCTCAAACCCATTGTTTGTGTCAACTGTAGTCATTGGTAACTCAACAGGCTGAGCTGTCAGTTTCAGCTGAATTGGACTCTGAACTAATTCGCAAGGCACAAGCACAATGTGCGTACACACATCATCTCTACTTGTACCTGTACCTAACTTCCTTATCTAAAACAAACATAGTGCAGTAATATACAGGAAGGGTGAGCTTGCTGACGCTAACTGACTCAGATTACCTTCAGCACAACGTGAACCTCACAGCAGGGAGGATATGTAGAAAGAGAACAGAGCAGAGCTGCAGAGCCATAGCAGACTTGAGTCATAGCTGAACTGCTCACCTGTCTGGCCCTCTCGCTCGTGTATGATTCGCTGTCTCCTTCTGTTTCTGTCTCTGAGTCTCCATCCTCCCCTGAGTTGAGGGATGATACGCCTGACTGAGATGCCCCCTCGCACTCAGACAGCTCTGCTCCCTTCCACAGACATTTGCTTTGGTCCAGCTCCTGGAAAAAGGGACAGCTGGTGCTTGTGGAGCTAAGGTTGACGCGGAAGTTCAGCCACTCTAAAGATGTGCTCCGTCCCTGTCCGCTCCCAGTGTCAGAGGAACTTCCTGCATCATGGTCCTGGAAGTTCAGCTGAGACAAGCCCACATCGGACCCCAGCCGCTTGGCCAAATGCCCGGCCACCTCCCTTTCCATGGTGCTCCTTTCTCTGTCATTATTTACTGGCAGGGCCGCTCTCTCCATGCTGCCTGTTTGTCCTCCTTTTCTTATTTCTAGCCAGCCAGAATCCATCTCTTCATCTGCCCTTTTCCACTCATTTTCTACCAGTTCCTGTGCCTTTTGATGAACAGATACTGGCCCTAGTACACCAGAGTCCCTTGTTTCTTTGCCCTCTGTCATGTCCATGACAAGCCTCTCATGCCCTAGTGACCCAGTGATTGCAGGGCCCTCACCAAAGGTCTTCAGGGGGCAATGGTGCAACATTAACCCTGATGAACTCTCACCCAGCACTGTGCTTGGCCCTGAGGAGACTGCCTTGACATTGGCTCTGTCTGAAAAGCTGATGTATTCCCCCATATCCATATCTCTTTCCTTCTCACTACATTTTCCCTGCCTTTCATTTGTTTCTTTCTTAACCACACCAGCCTCCATTTTCTTGTCATGTATTTCAGATTTCCATGGTTCATCAGGCGCCCCATTGCTCTGTCTGGTGGGATTCCCTGGAAATTCAACCTCACTTTTATTCTTTCTGTTGGAACTACTGGAGCAGGGCGAGCAGGAGAGATTACAGTCATCCTTCATTACAGTTGCTGGACTTTTAATGCTTTTGTCTGTGACACAGGTTTCCTTGACGCAAGCCAGCTGCCTGCGATACTTTGGACACTGCATAAAATAGTCATTTGTCCCTTCAGCTACAGGTGTAAGACTGCCTGTACTGGTCTGACTTCCCATTTTGCTGTTCTCTGATTTGTTACAGAGCGAAGCCACTTCCTGCTGAGATGGTGAGTCAGCAACTGGTTTTACTTCTTTCTCATCCAACAATGCACTGTCAGAGTTAATGCCATGGTTGTCCTTTGATGATCGCCTCTTACATTTCTTCTTACAGCAGGTCTTTCTCAGAAAGGGGGCAGAGCCCTTGCTGCTGGAGAAGAACTTAGGGAGGAGGAAATCAAAGCATGCCTCGTCTAGGTCTCTGAAACCAAGTATGGAAGCCGAGTTGCGTATTTCTAAGACATCTTCTTTCCCGAAGAGAAGTTTGGATGTGTAGGCAAACTTCAGCAGGGGTTCAAAGCCAGCAACTGTCACCTGTGAAAGAGGACATATGACTATCCTCTTGTTTGTTCTCAAAGATAACAATAGTTTATTCAGTAATATTTTCTGTCAGATAATCATGCATACATTACTGTAGGCCCAGATATGAAATTAGAACTACTCTGACTACAAATGATAAATCCCAGGATTGCAGGGCTGTGCTGACTCAGCAGTCAATACACATGACTAAAAAAAAATCCAGTTTCTGTGGCTTTTGCAGTTTCTTAAGTTGAAGAAGTTGGGAACCAGCAGGCACTCCCATTTAAAGAATCTTGTTAATGCAAATTCAGTTTGTAAAAGAAACACGGTACTTGTGGAATATAAACAAATTAAAAAGAGGATTTGGTGATTAAAATAGCCTTATTAGCATAGCTAAACCAAAAGGAACATTTAAAATGCTGACATGTTTCCTCTGAAGACCAAACTGTTTGGACATTTCTTGGCCTTTCTTTTCTTTAACATTAGGATTATTCCTAAAGCCCCATTGGAATCCCCTTTTGGAATTATATTTTGTTCAACTTGGATGTTTCTACTGGTAGCAGACTGGAAACCACTATGAAACAATTATTTTGATGCTTATAAGTAGTAAGAGTGGTACAGTACATTTAATTCTACACTTCCCTTCAAAGGCAAACAAACTCCAGGTCATGATTTTAGACTAAATTGCATAGCACATAACTAAAGAAATGTCAAACATTCAGCCTATTAATCATCAACACTTGTTAAGGAAATAAACCCTTCAGTCATGTTTCTCACTTCACTTTTACATGTTGGTTGTTGTGGGGCAGCAGGGCTTGTGTGTATCGACTATCTGTCATCTGGCATCATCAGGTGACATCTCACCTCTTGTGGCAGAGTGATGACCACTCCATTCTGTGTGAGGGAAGAGATCCTCTGTGTGAAGTACTCACTGCAGGAAGCGAGAACTGAGCGGTGGGCTCTGAAACTCTGACCCTCCACCACCACTGTAACATCACACAAATTGTCCCGGCGACGCTGCTCGTCCAGGCAGCGCAGCACATGGGAGGAATGCACTGTTGACTCAAATGTAAACACAGATGACCTGGGAGCAGACATGGCCATCAGGGACACCTATATGTACACACAAACAAACAAACAACCCCCCACAGCCACAGCCACACCACACTAAATAGTAGACATTTTCACTCTACGCAGGAACCAAATTCGGTAAAAGTTATACATTAGAATAAAATAACACAAAGCCCTGCCCACCTTACAAAACTGACTTTATAAATTGAAGTTTCTTAGAGTGTTAAAGTCCCAGCTGTTGAGCACTCATGGTTAGTCTAAATGGAATGCCGTCCAACCAGGCTACGTTTCCCAGAAAGTCTTATCTCCGCACTCCAGCTACAAACCTGAAACAACCTGAGCCTCTGACCCACGTCACATCGCCTGCTGTGTGCAGTATCGGAGAGGGGAGGGAGAGATAGGGAGAGAGAGAGAGAGACGACAGAGACGAGAGAGAGGACGAGAGAGACGTGTGAGTGAGTGTGTGTGTGTGTGTGTGTGTGTTGTGTGTGTGTGTGTGTGTCGCAACAACTCTGGGTGTAACAGAGCAAGCGCTGACTCATGCACTCCTGCTGATATAGAATGAGCAAGCGGTTTTCCTGTCCACACCAATCCCACCCTTGGATCCGTCTGGTAAAGTAACCAGCTCTTTCCCAGAAAATCCCTTTATAGATTTACCCCGAACACAATTCAGAGATTAAGGCAGAGGTTGAGAATATAAACCCAGTTTTTAAAAGGATATTGTCTATTGTCTGTGTCTTAAGGTTTAGAGCTGTCTTCACTCAGCTCAACTAATTGCAGACGCAGTGCATTTTGAGGACAAGTTGTGTAAAGACAGAGTGAGAAAAAATATAAACTGACCTGTTGCAAGAAGATGAAGGCTATTATGTTAATCTAAAGGTTAATATTACTCAGTAGGTCCTCAGTAGGTTGGCTTATATCTTGCTGGTTTTCCAGGTAGCAGGAAATCTTTCTGTGAGCTCAGTTAAAGTCTTCTTTGTTATGTTTGTGTTGTGTTTGTGTGTGTGCTCTCGTGTGTTGTGTGCTGGTGTGCTGTGCGTGTGGTGTCTTGCTGGCTCTGAGAGAGACAGACGAGCGGCGAGAGAGCAAAGCAGCATAACTTTTCCCTGGCCATGACGGTACAACAGTACACAGCTGTAAAAGACTACAATCTAAATTAATATTTGTCCTCATATGAATTTTATATTTTGGAATTTTTTTGTGGACTGTTTTTGGCTGTGTAAATATTAATCTAAGTGATAGGATGACTATAGAGGTACCTTAGTAGAACTGCCGGAAAAATAGTGTAGTGATACAATTTACCTACAAAGCTGGGCTACAAGTAAGTATAGTACAACAGAGTAATAATAATAATAACTGCAAGGCACTGCTACCAGTGTCACATGATTTGAAGGAGGAACCCAGCCAAAGTCAAAATGTCCAGTCAGGTGACTGTTTCATAACTCCAGAATGAGCTAATCTCTCTCATGAAAAAAAACAAAAAAAACTAGTTCCCTTTTCCATGTAAGCGCTGCCATGCCGTCATAAAGCGCACAACAAACACCACAGAACTGGCTTGGAGAAATGAAACTAAGGAACTGATGCTGTTGTTAAAATAAAATGCATTTTATTAATAGACGAGGACAATAACCAACAGTTTATCTTGTTGTATACTTCCCCTTCGACAGGTGGGTGAGACACACTACATCAAAAATGTACAACTCTTAAAGGTGTTGTGTCGCGGCATAAACTTATTTTTTTATTAACTCGATAATCACCCTTCTTCTTTTGCTGTTCCTCTCAAATGGCTCTAACTCCCCCAATCTCTGACAACTCATTTGTCAAACAAACACTCATTTCATTTCCTTTTTTTTTTTATCGTAACAGGAACTTGACGGGCAAGTGCTGGGGGTGGGAGAGAGAGAGAGAGGGAGGGGTAAATGCTCCTTAAAATACAACATTTGGACCACATCATACCACTTTTGGCTCCCTCCACAGACCTCAGGTAAAAGATCTGAGTCTACACAGGACCTGAGACAGATATCACAATATCTGGTCACGTTCACAGCAGCTGACATCGTATAAATACACTGTGAGGTATTGCAATAGCGACCAGGAGGGTTCTGCAAGATCACATAAAAACAAAACAGTACCTAGAAAAGCGGCCCTGTGTCATAGCTCGGTAGAATCACTATAACAACTTTAAACTGATGATGACAGTACGTCTGCGGTTCAAACAAATGACTCAGACATGAATAAACACGGCGCCTTTCTGTGTAACTAGCTGATTCACTGACTGTTGTTGTGTAGAATGAGCACTAGCTGAGCCTTTATTTATGCTTGGTTTCATGGCCGAGCGTCAGCTTCATGCTCAGAGGTCTCAGGTTCTGTGGGTGGTCAGAGGTCACGAGGAGTCCTGCCTCGTCTGATTGGTCAAGCAGAGGCTCTCCAGCTGCTGAGCGCGCTCGTTGTGGACAGTCACCAAGGTGCGGTTCTCCTCTGTTAGACGCCGAAACTCCTCCTCTAGACGGGCGATCTCCACGGCAACCTTCTCATCCTCCACCAGCTCTGCCAGCAACTTACGCCTAAGTAGATGAGTGAGATAAAGATTTTAGCAGCAGGTTGAAATAAAAAAAACACATTCAAATGCACAAACAGTGGAGCATTTCTCCAAAATCATCAGTTTATAGTCAGTTGAGTCATTTGTTTATTTTCTGTTTTGCTGAATCTTTTTTAGTTGCTGCAGGCAGGGAAACACCCATAACAGGTTGCCAGTTCAGGGAATGCCAATTTGGCAGACGTTCAGGCATATTCATACAGCAATTAGCTATCTTGTTTCTAGAACATGGGAGGAAACTGGAGAATCCAAAATAGCCATGGAAACAATGTAAATTTACAGGAAAGGTTGAGCTGGGGGAAACATTCAACATCACCATTGATCCTGTTAAAATAAAGCTAACCTCAATGGAACAAGTAAATAAGACATTTGGCGGGCCATTGCCAAACACAGTGTAAAATTTATGATGCTCAGTGTAAAACTGAAAAAGAAAAACCTACATTACAAACAGATTAGCCAAAGAAAAACTGCTTTAATGTAGAGGAAGAACAGAATTACACCAAAAGTCAAAAGTCAAGGTACATTACTATTAGTTATAGAGACAAGCAGGTTTCATGGTCTGCCTAAAGAGAAAATATGTTGTTTGTGATTTAGGGGAGACTGAAGTCAGTAATATGTTTTATTGCTCATTATATAATAATTTAAGGGCTACACTTTGAGTAAAATGTCCCTCATTTCTGATGAGTTCTTCAGGAGAGATGATCATAAGAACCTTGAGTTCTGTTTCAGGAAGGGAATGTTTTTTGTGACAGATTTTAAGACATTTTTTTTTTTTATATGTAATGTTATATTTATATGTTATATGTAAGAGGTTATGTTCTTTTCGGACGTTTCTCCACTCAACATTTTGCTGGGGTCTTCTAAGTGCATGCAGGGTGAGGACTTGTATGTGCATAACACAATAAATAACATAACAAGCCCCCCCC